TGAAAAAATATTCTTTAAAAAATCCACGTCCTATTGGTCCTTGAAAAAATATTCTTTAAAAAATCCACGTCCTATTAGTCCTTGAAAAAATATTCTTTAAAAAATCCACGTCCTATTGGTCCTTGCAAAAATATTCTTTAAAAAATCCACGTCCTATTGGTCCTTGAAAAAATATTCTTTAAAAAATCCACGTCCTATTGGTCCTTGAAAAAATATTCTTTAAAAAATCCACGTCCTATTGGTCCTTGAAAAAATATTCTTTAAAAAATCCACGTCCTATTGGTCCTTGAAAAAATATTCTTTAAAAAATCCACGTCCTATTAGTCCTTGAAAAAATATTCTTTAAAAACTCCACGTCCTATTGGTCCTTGAAAAAATATTCTTTAAAAAATCCACGTCCTATTGGTCCTTGAAAAAATATTCTTTAAAAAATCCACGTCCTATTGGTCCTTGAAAAAATATTCTTTAAAAAATCCACGTCCTATTGGTCCTTGAAAAAATATTCTTTAAAAAATCCACGTCCTATTGGTCCTTGAAAAAATATTCTTTAAAAAATCCACGTCCTATTGGTCCTTGAAAAAATATTCTTTAAAAAATCCACGTCCTATTGGTCCTTGAAAAAATATTCTTTAAAAAATCCACGTCCTATTGGTCCTTGAAAAAATATTCTTTAAAAAATCCACGTCCTATTGGTCCTTGAAAAAATATTCTTTAAAAAATCCACGTCCTATTGGTCCTTGAAAAAATATTATTTAAAAAATCCACGTCCTAATGATCCTTGAAAAAATATTATTTAAAAAATCCACGTCCTATTGGTCCTTGAAAAAATATTCTTTAAAAAATCCACGTCCTATTAGTCCTTGAAAAAATATTCTTCAAAAAATCCACGTCCTATTGGTCCTTGAAAAAATATTCTTTAAAAAATCCACGTCCTATTGGTCCTTGAAAAAATATTCTTTAAAAAATCCACGTCCTATTGGTCCTTGAAAAAATATTCTTTAAAAAATCCACGTCCTATTGGTCCTTGAAGAAATATTCTTAAAAAAATCCACGTCCTATTGGTCCTTGAAAAAATATTCTTTAAAAAATCCACGTCCTATTGGTCCTTGAAAAAATATTCTTTAAAAAATCCACGTCCTATTGGTCCTTGAAAAAATATTCTGTAAAAAATCCACGTCCTATTGGTCCTTGAAAAAATATTCTTTAAAAAATCCACGTCCTATTGGTCCTTGAAAAAATATTCTTTAAAAAATCCACGTCCTATTGGTCCTTGAAGAAATATTCTTAAAAAAATCCACGTCCTGTTGGTCCTTGAAAAAATATTCTTTAAAAAATCCACGTCCTATTGGTCCTTGAAAAAATATTCTTTAAAAAATCCACGTCCTATTGGTCCTTGAAAAAATATTCTTTAAAAAATCCACGTCTTATTGGTCCTTGAAAAAATATTCTTTAAAAAATCCACGTCCTATTGGTCCTTGAAAAAATATTCTTTAAAAAATCCACGTCCTATTGGTCCTTGAAGAAATATTCTTAAAAAAATCCACGTCCTGTTGGTCCTTGAAAAAATATTCTTTAAAAAATCCACGTCCTATTGGTCCTTGAAAAAATATTCTTTAAAAAATCCACGTCCTATTGGTCCTTGAAAAAATATTCTTTAAAAAATCCACGTCTTATTGGTCCTTGAAAAAATATTCTTTAAAAAATCCACGTCCTATTGGTCCTTGAAAAAATATTCTTTAAAAAATCCACGTCTTATTGGTCCTTGAAAAAATATTCTTTAAAAAATCCACGTCCTATTAGTCCTTGAAAAAATATTCTTTAAAAAATCCACGTCCTATTGGTCCTTGAAAAAATATTCTTTAAAAAATCCACGTCCTATTAGTCCTTGAAAAAATATTCTTTAAAAAATCCACGTCCTATTGGTCCTTGAAAAAATATTCTTTAAAAAATCCACGTCCTATTGGTCCTTGAAAAAATATTCTTTAAAAAATCCACGTCCTATTGGTCCTTGAAGAAATATTCTTAAAAAAATCCACGTCCTATTGGTCCTTGAAAAAATATTCTGTAAAAAATCCACGTCCTATTGGTCCTTGAAAAAATATTCTTAAAAAAATCCACGTCCTATTGGTCCTTGAAAAAATATTCTTTAAAAAATCCACGTCCTATTGGTCCTTGAAAAAATATTCTTTAAAAAATCCACGTCCTATTGGTCCTTGAAGAAATATTCTTAAAAAAATCCACGTCCTGTTTGTCCTTGAAAAAATATTCTTTAAAAAATCCACGTCCTATTGGTCCTTGAAAAAATATTCTTTAAAAAATCCACGTCCTATTGGTCCTTGAAAAAATATTCTTTAAAAAATCCACGTCCTATTGGTCCTTGAAAAAATATTCTTTAAAAAATGCACGTCCTATTGGTCCTTGAAAAAATATTCTTTAAAAAATCCACGTCCTATTGGTCCTTGAAAAAATATTCTTTAAAAAATCCACGTCCTATTGGTCCTTGAAAAAATATTCTTTAAAAAATGCACGTCCTATTGGTCCTTGAAAAAATATTCTTTAAAAAATCCACGTCCTATTGGTCCTTGAAAAAATATTCTTTAAAAAATCCACGTCCTATTGGTCCTTGAAAAAATATTCTTTAAAAAATCCACGTCCTATTGGTCCTTGAAAAAATATTCTTTAAAAAATCCACGTCCTATTGGTCCTTGAAAAAATATTCTTTAAAAAATCCACGTCCTATTGGTCCTTGAAAAAATATTCTTTAAAAAATCCACGTCCTATTGGTCCTTGAAAAAATATTCTTTAAAAAATCCACGTCCTATTGGTCCTTGAAAACATATTCTTTAAAAAATCCACGTCCTATTGGTCCTTGAAAAAATATTCTTTAAAAAATCCACGTCCTATTGATCCTTGAAAAAATATTCTTTAAAAAATCCACGTCCTATTGGTCCTTGAAAACATATTCTTTAAAAAATCCACGTCCTATTGGTCCTTGAAAAAATATTCTTTAAAAAATCCACGTCCTATTGATCCTTGAAAAAATATTCTTTAAAAAATCCACGTCCTATTGATCCTTGAAAAAATATTCTTTAAAAAATCCACGTCCTATTGATCCTTGAAAAAATATTCTTTAAAAAATCCACGTCCTATTGGTCCTTGAAAAAATATTCTTTAAAAAATCCACGTCCTATTGGTCCTTGAAAAAATATTCTTTAAAAAATCCACGTCCTATTGGTCATTGATAAAATATTCTTTAAAAAATCCACGTCCTATTGGTCCTTGAAAAAATATTCTTTAAAAAATCCACGTCCTATTGATCCTTGAAAAAATATTCTTTAAAAAATCCACGTCCTATTGGTCCTTGAAAAAATATTCTTTAAAAAATCCACGACCTATTGGTCCTTGAAAAAATATTCTTTAAAAAATCCACGTCCTATTGGTCCTTGATAAAATATTCTTTAAAAAATCCACGTCCTATTGGTCCTTGAAAAAATATTCTTTAAAACATCCACATCCTATTGATCCTTGAAAAAATATTCTTTAAAAAATCCACGTCCTATTGGTCCTTGAAAAAATATTCTTTTAAACATCCACATCCTATTGGTCCTTGAAAAAATATTCTTTAAAAAATCCACGTCCTATTGGTCCTTGAAAAAATATTCTTTAAAAAATCCACGTCCTATTGGTCCTTGAAAAAATATTCTTTAAAAAATCCACGTCCTATTGGTCCTTGAAAAATATTCTTTAAAAAATCCACGTCCTATTGGTCCTTGAAAAATATTCTTTAAAAAATCCACGTTCTATTGGTCCTTGAAAAAATATTCTTTAAAAAATCCACGTCCTATTGGTCCTTGAAAAAATATTCTTTAAAAAATCCTCGTCCTATTGGTCCTTGAAAAAATATTCTTTAAAAAATCCACGTCCTATTGGTCCTTGAAAAAATATTCTTTAAAACATCCACGTCCTATTGGTCCTTGAAAAAATATTCTTTAAAAAATCCTCGTCCTATTGGTCCTTGAAAAAATATTCTTTAAAAAATCCTCGTCCTATTGGTCCTTGAAAAAATATTCTTAAAAAAATCCACGTCCTATCGGTCCTTGAAAAAATGTTCTTTAAAAAATCCACGTCCTATTGGTCCTTGAAAAAATATTCTTTAAAAAATCCACGTCCTATTGGTCCTTGAAAAAATATTCTTTAAAAAATCCACGTCATATTGGTCTTTGAAAAAAATATTTTTTTAAACTCGGCTCCAGCATATATATATATATATATATATATATATATATATATATATATATATATATATATATATATATATATATATATATATATATATATATATATATATATATATATATATATATATATATATATATATATATATATATATATATATATATATATATATATATATATATATATATATTTATATAATCCTTCTGCATATGATATCATGCACTCTATCGCAAACTATAGCAGTTCTAAAGGCAAATATGGTATGTTCTACTTGAAATAAATTCTTTTGTTACGGGAGGTCTACTAAATATCCATAATGGTGTAGGGTATCATATAGCCGGCCCAGTCCGACTTTGGCTTTTCCTTACTGGTTTTAATATGAATAACTCTATCTCAAGAACACTACACGTTAATCGAATTCTCCTTTCAAGTCTCCAGAACACACCATCCAGATTGAATGTTAGTCGTTTTCGTTTTTTATGTTTTCTTTTTTTATTCCATTCCATCATAGAAAGAGGGCCGTTGCGCTTTTAAGTTTCAAATCGATTTTGACACCTTCTTGGTTTTGAATTTTTAATGTCTTTATTTTTTTTCCGTCTCTGCTTCGTTTTTATGTTCATTTTGCATTTGTTTTTAAGGGAATTCCATGGGGAATTACCAAATCAATAGACAATTTTTTGTTTAACTTTGCATACGACCACATGCTGCTAAATATTTATATTAATTATTTTTTTTTCAAATTTCTGATAAGAATCTATCAAGTTTTGAGTGTGTGGTATAGCTCAGTTTCAATATAATGTTTGCGCGGAACAGAACAATGAAAATCGTTTTGCTGATATTTGCAATAGCACACTTCGCAAATGCTGAGTACGACAATAACAACAATAGTTCGACAAAAGCTTATTTGGTAAATGTGAAAAATTAGTTTTGAAAATATTTTTTAATATTTAATATTGATTTGCCATATAGGATCTAAACAATGCGGAGGACAATGTGATTTTGTGGAAAAATTTGTTCATCAAATTGAATGACATTTTGGATAAAACCCAGAAATTGGATACAAAATTTGAAGAGTTATCGGAAAGGTTTGCAGCAAGAAAAATATTTCAATTATTTGGTATTTAGATATAATTTTTATTTAATTTCAGATTGGAAGTTTTAAATAAAAGGTAAGAAGAAGATACAAATAAATATAAACAGTATGAATGAATTTTGTTAAAATCTTTATTAACTATATATAGCCGTTATAATGGGACTATACGGAGACCTGGACCTGCATAGACCTATTAGGAACTTCAAACACGAAATTTCAAGCAATTTCTGTGAATATTGTAACTAAAATCGTCAAAATACCGAATATAGGAAGGTACCTATAAATGGGGGGTATACGAAGACCAGGGCCTGCATAGACAAATTTCTGTCATAAGCTGTAGTATTCATTACGAACTTCAAATACCAAATTTGAGACAATTCTGGTGAATAACGTCGCTAAAATCATACAAAATGCCGAATATCGGGAGGTACCGTTATATGGGGGCTATACGAAGACTTGTATCTGCATAGACAATTTTCTGTCACAGGCTGTAGTATTCATTACGAACTTCAAATACCAAATTTGAAACGATTCCGGTGAATGATGTCGCTAAAATCATCAAAATATCGAATATAAGGAGGTACTGATATATGGGGCCTATACGAAGACGTGGACCAGCATACGAAATTTTCTGTCAGAGCCTGTAGTATCCACTACGAATTCCAAATACAAAATTTGAAACAATTCTGTTGAATAATGTCGCTAAAATTATCAAAATACCGAACATCGGGGTGTACCATTATATGGGGGCTATACGAAGACATGGACCTGCATAAACAATTTTCTGTCACTGGCTGTATAATTCATTACGAACTTCAAATACGAAATTTGAAATGATGTTGCTAAAATCATCAAAATCCCGAATATTGGAATGTACCGTTGTATGGAGGTTAATGGAAGACGTGGGCCAGCACAGACAATTTTCTGTCATAGGCTGTAGTATTCTTTACGAACTTCACATACAAAATTTGAAACAATTCCGGTTAATAATGTCGCTTGAATCACCAAAATACCGAATAACGGGAGGTGCCCCTATATGAGGGCTATATGAAGTCGCGGACCTGCATAGACAATTTTCCGTCATAGGCTGTAGCATCAATTACGAACTTCAAATACGGAATTTGACGCGATTCCGGTAAAAAATGTCGCGAAAATCTTGAAAATATCGAATGTCTCGGAGTAGCGTTATATAGGTGTTATACTAAAAGTTAGACCTAAGTAGACGGTTCTCTTCCAAGGGTAAAGTACTCAGAGGGAACTCCTTGCGTGGATTTTCAGACTATTTCAATGAAATATTTGGCTACAGTCATCAAAATACCGAATATATGGGGGATACCGAGTTATATGGGGGATATTTGCTATTGTGGAGCTATATAGACAATACTCTTCCAGGGGGTGAAGTACTCAGAAAAAACTCCTTTTGTGCATTTTTTTGTGGACCGATATAGCCCATCTTTGAACATGCTCTCCCTGCAGACAAAAGACTGATCAGTGCAAAATTGTAGTTTCCTATCTTTATTTGTCTTGACTCTAGCGTGATTATTAAATTTATTATTTCGATGTATGGTGGAGGGCATAAAAACAAGACTCTCAGGTGGCCAAAGAAGGGTTGTTGTCCAAACCCATTTGGTATATCATCATCATCAAGGCCTAGCATATTAATGTCAAATTATAAGAGACAACGACAGCCGAATTTGAGAGCGTCTCGGATATCCTTTTAAAATATGTCAACAGATATGCCATGCCATGATGTCGAGCTGCCTATGTATCATCACCTAAAATAAGTTCAATATAAAAACCCCTATTTTACACCTCCCAGGGTAAATACTCTCGACAATGATTTGAAAACATTCTGTCCGAACAACCAAAATTGGATTACAATACAACGGCGCCAGGATGCTTCGGTGTCATTCAATCGTTCGTGGGAAGAATACGGCCTGGGTTTTGGCGATGCCAACGGCAATTACTTCATGGGTCTTCAACGCATCTATGAAATGACAAATTTTGCGGGGCCACAAGAATTGCTGATAATTTTAAAAGATTTTGGCGGCGATACACGCTATGCCAAGTACGATCGGTTTCGCATTGGCAGTGAAGAGGAAAAATATGCCCTATTAGAGGTGGGCAACTATAGTGGAAATGCTGGAAATAATTTCAAAATACACGAAGGACATCCATTTACCACTTTCGACCGAGATAATGATAATAATCCCGATAGGAATAATGCTGTGGTTTTTGCCGGTGGTTGGTGGTTCTTTGGTTTGGGTTATCATGGGTAAGTGTGGAGGAGGAGGGGAATTTTTTGGACTAAATTTTAATATTCCTTTCCTTTTTTTTATAGTTACCTAAATGGTCCATACCGGCAGCAGCATGAATCGAATACTTGGGGAATAAGCTGGCATGAGTTTCGTTTATGGAATGGTTCCCTGAAATATGCCGAAATGTTAATTCGCCGGAAATGTTAAATAGATATAGTGGCTTATAGCTTATTTCAACCTCCACCTATTCTTAATGTTTAGCTGGATATTGGTTCTAAATAAATTGAAATATTTAATAAAAAATAAATAAATTGGCGCTTATAGAATAATATCAGAACTTTAAACAAGGTTCTTTATATGGGATAAGTTTATAGGTCCATCTGCCCTGTTTTTTTTTAATTTGGCTTAACTCATTTATGGAATATCCATTTAGTAGAGATTTTCGCTGTTCGTATGTATATTTTCCCTCTATTAGACTTTGAGTGATCTGTGGTATTCCTGAAAGTATGGACAGTGCCTCTGTAGATGTCGTTCTATATGATGAGATATCCCTTAGTGAGCATACTCGATGTACTCTCTCTCTCTCTCTCTCTAAGAGTCAGCCAATTCAGCTGCTCCAATGACTTCAATACCCGCTAGCAACATGAACTAGTTCGGCATCGGAAACTCGTCGGTTCTCAGAGTTACAGTAACTAGTTCCACTTAAGACCCCTCACAGTGCAAACAACTGTAAACTTTAACATGGGGATGTCATACGAAGTAACCAATTGGCTCCCTTTGCATTACCTGTAGATGGTACTTTACTAGTTCCAGGTTTACAGTCATATACCAGTGACAAAAGACTAACCCTTACCAAGTTCCAAGTACACAGCCACAGACTAGTGTCAGCAGACTACCTTTTAACTAGTTCTATGTATCAGTTATGTACTAGTGTCATTTGACTATCCCTTATCTAGTATAAGCAGACCAATTTTAAACTGGTTTCCCATGAACTAGTTCAGTACCAATTATTGTTAGTGAAATTCTAATTTATAGTTGTAATTCATTTTTTTATTGGAAACAAATTAATACAAATATACCTTACTCTATAAAACTTGAACAAAAATAAATTTAATTTAATATTTATAAAAGCACTTGTATTGCTTTTCGCAGTTGTGTTTCAGGGGTGTCCGAATATTCTGTAACTGGTATTGAATCTGCAAAAAATAATGTTTAATGTATGAAAATGTAGAATATAAAAATAATGTTTATATACACCTTACCTAAAATAACGCTGTATATATTACTTAGGGACTTCAAACTTTTTTCCATGGTTTCCCTCAATATTATACTCGTAGTAATATTTAAACCGATAACATTTTTAAACATTTCGATGTTTCCTCTCCTTTTATAATTAATGCTATAATCTTTACCTAAAAATTAACAAAAATTGTATATAATCTATGTTTGTTCAGCAATACATTTAAAAAATACTTACATATATGTATTGATTCTCAATATTTTTCATAAGTGATGGGGAACCTATTCGATAATGGTATCTCATCACTTTGAGATCGTAGCACCATCACCTTCAACTCAGCTAAAGCATCAGCTAAAATTTTGATTTGACCTATAGTGAAAACAAACAAATTAACAATTTGTAACAATTCTGAGAAGAATGCTATAATTTTACCTTGAATTACTTTTATTATTATTTTATTACTATTATTACTTTTACTACTCATTCTTACCTTTTTATTTGTTATTTTCAACACTTTATAACTTATTTGCACAGAAAAATTATACTTCACTTCACAACGATCAGAATAAGAATGCTTTTTCCAAACAAAACGCACTTGCATTCCTCAAGAATAACGGTGCATTGTTTTTTTATTGGTAATCTAAAAAAAACTATTCAAAGTGGTTCTTGTTCGTAGAAATCTCATTCAAATGTTCGTTTGGTTTTTTCGTTGTGGTTTTTATTTATGCACAACTGTCGCTTCTTTGCATTACTTGGGGACGAAAAGGTGTCAATTGGTTACCTTTGCATTACTTGGGGACACATTTGGTACTAGTCCGGCTTATATCTAGTATAGGACTGGTGAAATTGAGTTAAATGGAATTTTCATTGCCAGCGGGTAGTAATCGAATTTTTATACCCTCCACCATAGTATGGAGGGTATATTTAGTTTGTCATTCCATCAACACCTCGAAATATACATTTTAGACCCCCCACATATATTCTTGATCGGCATAAAATTCTATGCCGATTTAGCGATGTCCGTCCGTCTGTAAAAATCGCTCCAGCTTCCGAACGAAATAAAGTAGCTTGATAACATTTTACTCACATATATATTATGTCTGCAAGACTTTTGGTATTGAAAAAGGGCCATGTAGGTCCACTTTTTTTGGTATAGCCCTCATATAATAGTACCTCCCTATTTTTCGTATTTTTGGTGATTTAAGCGACATTATTCACCGGAAATGTTTCAAATTTGGCATTTGAAGTTCGTAATGGATACTAGAGCCTATGACAGGAAATTGTCTGTGTAGGTCCACGTCTTCGTATAGCCCCCATATAACGGTACCTTCCGATATTCGATATTTTGATGATTTAAGCGGCATTGTTCACCGGAATTGTTTCAAATTTGGTATTTGAAGTTCGTAATGGATACTACTGCCTATGACAAAAAAATTCGTACGCAGGTCTACGTTTTAGTATAGGCCCCATATATCAGCAACTCCCGATATTCGGTATTTTAATGATTTTGTGCAATATTATTCTCCGGAATTGTTTCAAATTTGGTATTTGAAGTTCGTAATGGCTACTACAGCCTATGACAGAAAATTGTCGATGCATCTCCACGTCTTCGTATATCCCCCATACAACGGCACCTCCCGATATTCGGCATTTTGATGATTTTAGCGACATTATTGGCCAGAATTGTTTCAAATTTGGCATTTGAAGTTCGTAACGGATACTACAGCCTAAGACATAGAACTGGCTTTGCAGGTTCACGTCTTCGTATAGCCCTCATATAACTGTACCTCGCGATATTCCGTCTTTTGATGATTTTAACGACATTATTTAACGGAATCGTTCCAAATTTGGTATGATACTGCAGCATAAAACAGAAAATGGGCCATGTAAGTCCACATCTTCGTATAGCCCCCATATAACAATACCCCCCGATATTCGGTATTTTAATGATTTTAGCGACATTATTTACCGGGATTGTTTCAAATTTCGCATGTGAAGTTCGTATTGGATACTTCAGCCCATGCCAGAAAATTGTCTGTGCAGGTCCACGTCTTCGTATAGCCCCCATATAACGGTACCCCACATATTCGGTATTATGATGATTTTAGCTACATTATAAACAGATTTTTCTTCAAGTTTCGCATTTAAATATTGTAATAACTTATGACAAAAGTTGCCTATGCAGGTCCACGTCGTCGTATAAGCATTCGGTATTTTTAAAATTTTAGCAGAATTTTTAACGGATTTTATTATTATTATTATTATTTTTTTTTTTTTTTTGGAAATTGCCAAATTTGTACTAAATGGTGGATGGTATTAAAAGTTCGGCCCGGCCGAACTTACTGCTTTTTTATTTGTTTTTTTGAAAATTTCCAAATTCGTTCCTAATGGTGGAGAATATACAAAGTTCGACCCGGCCGACAGCTTTTTTAACTTCTTATTATTCGCCCTCTAGTGAAAACACTCTATTCAGACAAGCCACTTAGTAAGAGTACCGACTATCTAATTACACCCTTAGCCATATGGCTAGTTATACCCTCAGCCATATGGCTAGAGAGGGTATATAAACTTTCATGCGGCCAAAATGTGCCTCATCGAAATAACGGTTTCAGATCCTAGGTCTCTTTCGACCAAATCCGTTTGAGGACATTTGAAGTCGATCTAGGGATGTTCGTCCGTCTGTCTGGCTGGTGCACACGATATCTCTCGAAGGGATTATCCGATTTAATCCAAACTTGGTACATCGTAATATTATTATCATACTTAGATCGACTTCGGAGATGGGCAATATCGGTCCACTCCTTCTGGTACCTCCCACACAAAATGTCAAAATTTTCCAAGAAAATAATTTATTGCAAAGAAAGAGAAAGGATAATCGATTTTGCTGTAACTTTGCGAATCCTAATATTTACATCAGTGCTACGTCAGGTGAGAAAATGGACAATATTGGTCCCCTCCATCAAGTACCTTCCCCACAAAGGGTAAAAACTTTTGAATATATATATAATTCTTATAAATATGATGTCTGGTGTGAAGATGGAATGTATCTGCCGAACCCCTTCTCGTACCTGCCTCACAAATGTCAAAAACATATATTTTCTGTACAGAAAGATAATCCGATTTTGCTCCAACTTTGCAAATCCCAATATTTGCGTCAGTGCTAGGTCAGTTGCGAAAATGGACAATATTGGTCCACTCCATCAAGTACCTCCCCCACAAAGGGTAAATATTTTGAATAATTACATCTCTTATAAAATGTGATGCAAGAGTCCGATTGTCTTCAAATTTCACACATCCCAATATTTTTATTAGCCCATGGTCTGGAGTAAAGATGGAAGACATCGGTTCACTCCTTCTGGTACCTCCCCCACAAAGGGTCAACATTTTGAATATTCATGAAGGTTATAAAACACGCAATTAATATCTGAATCCATTCAGACTGGCCACATCTCAATATTTCCATCAACACCAAATCTGTTATAAAGATGGTAGAGATCGAACCATTCCTTCTGCTACCTCCCCCACAAAGGGTCAAAAATTTTGAATAACCCAAACGATCATAAAATCCGAAATAAGCATCCGGTTCTCTTCAAATTACACACATTGCAATATTTTTATTAACCCAAATTCTGGCGTTTAATTGGAATATATCGGTTCACTCCTTGTGGCACCTCCCCCACAAAGGATGAAAATTTTGAATATTCATGGAGCTCATAAAACACGAAATTAACATCCGATTCCATTCAGATTTCGTAGATCTCAATATTTCCATCAATACAAGATCTGTTATAAAGATGGTAGAGATCGGACCATTTCTATTGGTACCTTCCTCACAAAGGGTCAAAATTTTGGAATAACCAAAACGACCATAAAATCCGAAATAAGCATCCGGTTCTCTTTAAATTACACACATTGCAATAATTTTATTGATCCAAAATTTGGTGTGAAGATGGATTATATCGGTCAACTCCTTCTGGTACCTCCCCCACAAAGGATCAAAATTTTGAATATTCATGAAGCTCATAAAACACGCAATTAATATCCGAATCCATTCAGACTGGGCACATCTCAATATTTCCATCAGTACAAGATCTGTTATAAAGATGGTAGAGATCGAACCATTCCTTCTGGTACCTCCCCCACATAGAATTCAAGATTTTGAAAAATAAACGCTCAAATTTCACACATTCAAATATTTTTGCTAACGGAGGATGTGTTCTGAAGATGTATATCTGCGAACCCCTTCTGGTACCTCACCCACAAAGAGTCACAATTTTAAACTTTTATTTGTCATAACTTACAAAACAAGTCGGCGATTCTTTACGACTTGCTATATCTAAATATTTCTTTTAACCAGATATCTGATATGAATACGCAATTTATCGGAATTTATGATTTCGCATAAAATTGGATATAAATGTTCGATTTCCTTCAAATTTGGCACAGTCCGCTTTATCTATTACCTCACGCATATTTCCACATTTTCCAACAATTTCCAAATATCTTATATAAAGTATACGAAGTAGTCGATATAGCCCACATCTGGCAAGTTGTAGTATTTATACCTGTCTTAGGTCACATACAAATCGGTCTGATCAGATACTAATATTGGCCAACTGCTTCGAAACCTCCCCCAATAAAGGATCAACAGTTTAATCATAAGTCAAGTTTGGGGGTATACATCTGTGTCGGCAAAACTGACCGATACTCTTTTACTTGTTTTACCTAACTTTGCATACGACCGCACATCCTGTCAAATATTTACATATTTTTAATTAAGTTTTTTTAATTTTTTGATAAGAATCTATCAAGTTTTGAGTGTGTGTAATCTAGCTCAGTTTCAATATAATGTTTGCGCGGAACAGAACAATGAAAATCGTTTTGCTAATATTTACGATTGTACATTTTGCAAATGCCGAGGACAATAGTTCGACAACAAGTTATTTGGTAAATGAGAAAAATCGATTTGAAAAAATGGTTAATATTTAATATTATTATACAACCTAGGATCTAAACGATGCGGAGAACAATGTGAATTTGTGGAAAAATCTGTTCATCAGATTGAATGACATTTTGGACAAAACCCAGAATTTGGATACAAAATTTGAAGAGTTATCTGAAAGGTTTGGAGAGAATTTTTTTTCAATTATTTGGTACTTTGATATAATTTTTATTTAATTTCAGATTAGAAATTTTAAATAAAAGGTAAGAAGATTATAAAAAAAGTAAAAAAGCTGTAAGTTCGAACTTTGAATATCCTCCACCATTTGGACGAATTTAGATTTTTTAAAAAAAATAAAATCCGTTAAAATCTTAAAAATACCGAATTTAGCCCTCATATAGGCGTCTATACGAAGACTTGGACCTGCATAAGCAACTTTTGTCACAGGCCTTTACAATATTCAAATACGAAACTTAAAAAAATCGGCGAATAATAATAATAAAGTCATAAAAATACCGCATATAGGCAGGTACCGATATATGGGGGTTATACAAAGACCTGGAGCTGCATAGCAAATTTTCTGTCACAGGATGCAGTACCCATTGGCGACTTTAAACCTGCATAAAAATTTTTCTTTCACAGGCTGTAGTATCTATTACGAACTTCAAATACGAAATTTGAAACAATTCCGGTGACTAATGTTCCTAAAATCATCAAAATCCCGAATTTAGGGAGGTACTGATATTTGGGCCTATACGAAGATATGGACCTGCATAGACAATTTTCTGTCACAGGCTGTAGTACCCATTACGAACTTTAAATACAAAATTTCAAACAATTTCAGTGAATATTGTATCTAAAATCGTCAAAATACCGAATATTGGGAGGTACTGATATATGGGGCCTATACGAAGACCTTGACCTGCATAC